CAGAATACGTGTGTTCCTGTTATTCTGTCTGAAATATAAGGCAAGAGTTGTCTCTTAATGACGGAAAGTCAGACACCAGACATGCAAATCTGTTCCTGTTACACAGCATGCAGTCCTGATGAGTGGACTTGCATGAATGGCGACTGCATTCCCACCGCTCAACACTGCGACAGAATCCCGCACTGCCGTGACGGTTCTGACGAAGAGAACTGCCCGCCTCAGCTCGGTTTGTCTCTTTTTATTAATTTTTCTCCCTCTCTCCGTAAATTTGCCTATAATTTTCTGGAATACTTTAGTATTTACATTGTTTCTTTTATTAATTGATAATGTATTTTGTTTTCCATGACTAATACCCTTTTGATTGTTAATTCATAACAAAACTTTTTGTGTATTATCACTGAAGTCAGTGCTTCAAAGGTAACTATTTTTACTATTTCTACACAAATGTATGCACGTGTGCATGAGTATATGAAGAGATACACATACGCGTGCATGCACACACACTCACACAGACACAGTCACATGTACCAAGCATACACAAATAATTTGTGTAAATCTGTCAAGATATTTGGTTATATCTCAATAACTTTATATATATATATGATATATATACATATATGTATATATATGTGCTTGTGTATATGTATGTATATACATACATACACACAAGCACATATATGCAAACTAAGAGTAAATTTGAGTGATTTATATGTGAAGTTAAACGTAATGTTATCATTTGACAGAAAATCCTTCCTGACTTGTGCATTTACTTTCGTGTTTGCATAGCGTGTGCTTCAACGGAGTGGACTTGTGGTGATGGAACTTGCATACCCCTAGAAGGCCGTTGTAACGGGCGTTATGAGTGCCGAGACTATAGTGATGAAGACCGGTGTCCAGGTGAGGATGAACCTGCATCAGAATACGTGTGTTCCTGTTATTCTGTCTGAAATATAAGGCAAGAGTTGTCTCTTAATGACGGAAAGTTAGGCACCAGACATGCAAATCTGTTCCCGTTACACAGCATGCAGTCCTGATGAGTGGACTTGCATGAATGGCGACTGCATTCCCACCGCTCAACACTGCGACAGAATCCCGCACTGCCGTGACGGTTCTGACGAAGAGAACTGCCCGCCTCTGCCCGGTTTGTCTTTATTCAATTTTTCTCTCTTTCACTCTCCCGTATGTTTGTGTGTCATTTTCCGTAATACTTTAGTCTTTACATTGTGTCTTTTATCATATGATAATATAATTTGCCTACGATAAGTTATAATCTTTTGATTGGATTATTCATAAGAAAACCTTTTGTGTGTGTATTAGCATTTAAGTTAAGGCTTCAAAGGTAACCGTTTTTCCAACATTTCCATTTGTATTTAGATACACATATGTTCACATGTACACACACCAAGTATACACAAACAAATTATATCTAAATCTTATGGTGTCAAGGCATAATATATATCATCATCAAAGGGGCCGAAGCTGACGGGGGCTCATAGCTGCATCCACCCTTTGCTTTCAGCCACGGGGGTCCCTCATGGCGAGTCGCCAGGCAGGCCCTTGGCCCATCTCTAGTTCTTCACGGCAGGTCTGGTCGAGCTGCCTAAGCCATGACTTCCCAGGTCTTCCCATAAGCCTTCATGCAGGATTGTCTCATAAAGAGACAACCTGATGGGCAGAGTCATCCACAGGGAAACGGGCTAGATTCCTGTACAGCCCGAGTTGACAGTTCTGGATTATCCAAGTAACAGGTCTCATGCTAGTCTCACAGTGGAGTCGTTGGACATATGAGGCATCTTTTCCAGCGGTTATGGGGAATGCGACACCTTTCATGTGACAGGAATTGAGCAGGCAGTAAACATTTGTCGAGTTGCCAGATGCATTTCTCTTCGGATATTTCATGCATATTCATACCTATATTGGATATCTATAACACAGCACTACCCACCATTAGATATCAAAAACCATCTTGTATATCATTTCAAAATATTGTGTACCTGTCGAAAAATATCCAGTGCAGAAAAATATCAAGCTGTCAATCGCAGCCATTCCCATTACATCACAGAAATGGGCGGAGCTTAGAGGCCTGTCTCACCTCCGATCACGAGACACCCTAATTGCCACTGGAAAAGATGCCTATGGTCCTGCCAACCCCATGATCTGGCGTAGGGACTTGTTACAAAAGGCATTGAGACGAGACTCCAAGGCACTGGATAACGTCTAGGTTTCGCTTCCATATTGGCAGTGGCAGTATCAAGGCTTAAAGACACATAATTTAGTCCTTATGCATAGGTACCTACACCTCCAAATATCCTTTTTGATTAAGTACATGGCTCCTGCTGCCAGACCATTCTGTCTACTGACTTCCTGGTCAGACAGCCCCTAGACATGAACTGCACCACCAAGATATGTAAAACTCTGTGACTTCAACGTCCTCGCCGCAAGCACGTATCACCTGAACATGTTCTAGTAGGCCCCCGAAATCTCGGATCTTGGTCTTAGTCCAGGAGACCTGCAAGCCCAGGAGCTTCGCCTCACTACTGAATGCATCAAGAGCAGAGACTCATCCAGAGACTCATAAAGAATTGCAACATCATCGACAAAGTCAAGGTCTGTGACCTTGATATTATCCATTGTTGCTCCACACTGACCTTGGGAAGTAGGTCTGCCTGTTATCCAGTCCATGAATGTATTGAAAAGTGTTGGTGGAAGGACACAGCTTTGCCTCCCTCCTGAGTTGACAGGGAAGAAGCTCGACAGTCTTCCACCATACTTTACAGCAGTATATAAGCTCACTATTAATCCAATAATCCGTGTCAGAATTCCTCTAATTCTCATAATCATTATTCACGATCAAACGCCTTCTTGAGGTCGATGTAGGCTGCAAGCAGCCCACGACCGAACCCACGACGACATTTTACAATGACTCGAAGCACTGGGATACGGTCTATTGCAGAGTTCCTGGGAGTCAATCCAGATTGCTCTGGTCTTTGGTGCCTTAGCAGTTGGTTGTGGATCCATTTCAGAAGAATGTGGGTGAAGACCTTGCCTGGTTTACTGAGCAATGTGATGTCATGGTAGTTGCTACAGTCACAACGATCCCCTTTCCCCTTCCAGAGAGGGATGACTATGCCCCTCAACAGGTCAGGCGGAATGGAACTAGACTGCCAGATGGCAGCCAGGACAACATGCAAGCCCCATGCCACAGGTTCACCCCCAGCCTTTAGCTCCGGAGTTCCATAAAGCCTGTAGCTTTTCCACCCTTCAGCTTAGAGATCGCCTACCATACCTCAGTTGGGGTAGGAGGATCCTTCCTAATAGGTGGTCAGGCACAGGGAATCCACATCCCTAATATCTAGACTAACTGTTGGGGGGCGGGGGGCGGTTCTACCTGTTACAATTTCGCAAAATACTCAGCCCAACATTCACGAAACCCAACATGATGTGAGATAATCCATTCATCCACTGAGTGAACTGCAAACATCCGTGAGAGATTGGAGTTCCATTTTCTCAGAGTTTGGTAGGCAGGACGAAGGTCATTTATTAGGAAATGGCTTTCTACCTCCTCGGCAAGATTCCTGATGAGCTGTTCCTTATCCCTTCTCAGTAGAGTCCTAGCCCTACACATCAAGGAACGGCGCAAATCTTGATTGCCGTTCAGACGAGCCATGCAACACATCTGTGGCCTCCAATTTCTCCAGCGAGATGAGATTCTGCCTTGTCCTCAGATGTTCACCAATGGTCACACTGTACAATACGAATGTCTCACCGGGGGCATTTGTCTGTCACAGATGTGGGTTTGGCATAGAACGCAACTTTCATATCAAGTTTACATACATTGGTAAGAGCGAACACAGCAATAAGAGACACAAAGCCAAAAGCGTACTTCAGTCTCAGTGCCATAATACGCTCATCATCTGGAGACGCCTCAACTATCGAAGGTTGAAGTCGGCTGGAGATGGCTATGGCTATTCCCTGGAGATGATCATTGCCCCAGCCCAATCAATAATAGGTGTACCCACCCATACTGATCGTGCTGCTGCCAGGTCTCCTCACCTCTGAGAGGGCAGCCACCTCAACTCTGAGCCGCTTCAGTTCCCTCGATAGCAGGGGTAATCTTATCCTGCCGTAAAGACCAGGGGCCGAATCTACTAAACTCTCTCGTAAACTGTCTCATAACAGTTACATGAAGTATCCACGATTTCTCAAAGAAGTATCCACCCATTTTCAAACGAAAAACAACGAGAGCGCAGGGGTCTTGTAACCATTACAACAGCATTTTCTCCTCTATCATCTAAGTACTTTTATCTCATTTATAATGGAAAAAATAAAAAAAATTCATTATATTTTTATTAATTTATTATGACAGAAATTTGTTATAATCCAGTAAAACATTGATCTAAATCATTATTCATCGAGAAGTGAATCCATTGCTAACAGTAATTTTACATTAGGCTATTAAGAGGTGTTTGTATATTGGTAACCTTTGTTATTGGATGTTTATTGATTTGTTGCTATAGAGGAAAATAGTCATACTGATGGAAATTATGCATTTTCATCCAGATTTCGTACTTGAAGATGTGTTAGAGATCCTTTAATTCATGATAAATTAAACCTTCTGAGTGATTTACATCAAGTGTTCCCGCAACTCCATGCATTGGCAAAGGCCATTTCTTATTAACGTTAGTTTTATTGTTTTTCCGTTGTTTAATATGGTTTACTATGCCTCTTCAATATGTTGCTCTTGTACATTAACTGATTTCCACATGGCAAAGTGACATTTACACACTCCTAAAGGTATGTATGAGGCTGATATGAGCTGATGTGGGTTGCTACAATAAGTGTTACTAGTGGTTTCGGGCTCCCGCAAATGTCTCTCGCATGGAGACATGTTTACGACCTCGGGAGTATTTTGAAAATACGTCGTTGTGAGAAACGAGAGTAGCTTGTTTTACGATATAAACAAACCATTTATGATATAAGGCATTAGTAAATTCGGCCCCATGTGTTCCAAGCTCCCACCTGAACAGCCCGCTGAAGGTTAAATCTCGGGCAGTTGCTCCGGACAGACGCCACCTCTGCCACCCCCAACGATGTTGCCCCATAAAAAAAGGGGGTGGCAAGGTGTGAGGCCCATCGTCCACCTGTGGGGATCCCGAGGGCCTCACGTTGGGGTGGTGGGGGCCAGAGTGCAGGAGGGATGAGGAATTCACGTTCCTAACCTGAGCCCCAGCAGACGCCCTCCCAACGGAACCCACAGCCAGCCTCACTTGCTGGGTGGGAGGGGCAATCCCCTTCTCCCCAGCGTTTCCATTTATATCTTGGATATACATATGTATTTAGATATATAGATATAGATATATAAATACATATGTATATATAAATAGAGATATGGATATATAGATACATATGTACATATATATGTATATATTTACATATATATAGATAGATGTAGATATACAGATATATATGTATATATGTATATTACATATATTTATAGATAGTTGTAGATATATAAATATTTAAGCATATATGTATATATATTCACATCTTGTCATATAATTTCAGCTCAGAAAGAATCTTTATTGCAATAGAATTTTGAAATACAATGAATTTTCCTATACTGTTTCAGTTACATTATTATTTAGACTTGTTAACACTAATAGTACATACATACACACACACACACACACACACACACACACACACACACACACACACACATATATATAACATATATATATATATATATATATATATATATATATATATATATATATATATATATAATATGTATATATATGTATGTATATATATCATGTGGTCCTGATGAGTGAAAATTAATGGTGACTGTATCTCAGGCTATCAGCGCAATGACAGAACACCTCAGTGCATTGACCGTTCAAAGAGAACTACATATCTGTATATATATATATATATATATATATATATATATATATATATATATATATATATATATATATATACAGATACATCCATTGATATACTACATATTCTCCACTGAATGCCTGGTTCATTTTGCAATTCTCCATTTATTAGAAAAAAATCAAACACTATAATATATACATTTGTTTGTTCATATTGCCAAAGTTTGTTGCATCCCAGTCTTAGAGTACAGTTAGTTCGTGTATTAATTTGGCACGACTCTTCAGTAGTCTTCTGAAAGTAACCTTTTGACTGCAACAGAAAGCTTCCTTAGTATCTATGTGTTATTAAATGTAATGTTATCATGTGAAAGAAAATCCTTCCTGACGTGGCTGAACTTTCGTGTTTGCATAGCGTGCGCTTCAACGGAGTGGACTTGTGGTGATGGAACTTGCATACCCCTAGAAGGCCGTTGTAACGGGCGTTATGAGTGCCGAGACTATAGTGATGAAGACCGGTGTCCAGGTGAGGATGATGCTGCATCAGAATATCCATTGATATCCATCTGAACTTTATGTAGTTTGTTTCTCGAACATAGTGGTCATAAAGGAGTTTGATTATTACTCAGAATTTTGTTTGTTTGAACTTTCGCTGCTGTTAAGTTTTTCTTCACATCAGTGTGCCTTTTTTAAGAGTTGTCTCTTAATGATGGAAGGTTAGGCTCCAGACATGCAAATCTATTCCTGTTATACAGCATGCAGTCCTGGCGAGTGGACTTGCATGAATGGGGACTGCATTCCCACCGCTCAACACTGCGACAGAATCCCGCACTTGACGGTTCTGACGAAGAGAACTGCCCGCCTCAGCTCGGTTTGTCTCTTTTCGTTCATTTTTCTCCCTCTCTCCGAAATTTTGTCTGTAATTTTCTGGAATACTTTAGTATTTACATTGTTTCTTTTATTAATTGATAATGTATTTTGTTTTCCATGACTAATACCCCTTTGATTGTTAATTCATAACAAAATTTTTTGTGTATTATCACTGAAGTCAGTGCTTCAAAGGTAACTATTTTTACTATTTCTACACAAATGTATGCACGTGTGCATGAGTATATAAAGAGATACACATACACGCGCATGCACACACACTCACACATACACAGTCACATGTACCAAGCATACACAAATAATTTGTGTAAATCTATTAAGACATTTGGTTATATCTCAATAACTTTATATATATATATATATATATATATATATATATATATATATATATATATATATATACATGTATGTATATATATGTATATATATATGTATATATATGTTCTTGTGTGTATGTATGTATATATACATGTATATACATACACATATATGCATATATATACAAACTAAGAGTATATTTTAATTTATATCTGAAGTTAAACGTAATGTTATCATGTGACAGAAAATCCTTCCTGACTTGTGCATTTACTTTCGTGTTTGCATAGCGTGTGCTTCAACGGAGTGGACTTGTGGTGATGGAACTTGCATACCCCTAGAAGGCCGTTGTAACGGGCGTTATGAGTGCCGAGACTATAGTGATGAAGACCGGTGTCCAGGTGAGGATGATGCTGCATCAGAATATCCATTGATATCCATCTGAACTTTATGTAGTTTGTTTCTCGAACATAGTGGTCATAAAGGAGTTTGATTATTACTCAGAATTTTGTTTGTTTGAACTTGATATTCTTCAAACTCTTGCTGCCTGTTGTTTTTCTTCACATCAGTGTGCCTTTTTTAAGAGTTGTCTCTTAATGATGGAAGGTTAGGCTCCAGACATGCAAATCTATTCCTGTTACACAGCATGCAGTCCTGGCGAGTGGACTTGCATGAATGGGGACTGCATTCCCACCGCTCAACACTGCGACAGAATCCCGCACTGCCGTGACGGTTCTGACGAAGAGAACTGCCCGCCTCAGCTCGGTTTGTCTCTTTTCGTTCATTTTTCTCCCCCTCTCCGAAATTTTGTCTGTATTTTCTGGAATACTTTAGTATTTACATTGTTTCTTTTATTAATTGATAATGTATTTTGTTTTCCATGACTAATACCCCTTTGATTGTTAATTCATAACAAAACTTTTTGTGTTTTATCACTGAAGTCAGTGCTTCAAAGGTAACTATTTTTACTATTTCTACACAAATGTATGCACGTGTGCATGAGTATATAAAGAGATACATACACGCGCATGCACAACACTCACAATACACAGTCACATGTACCAAGCATACACAAATAATTTGTGTAAATCTATTAAGACATTTGGTTATATCTCAATAACTTTATATATATATATATGATATATATACATGTATGTATATATATGTATATATATATGTATATATATGTTCTTGTGTGTATGTATGTATATATACATGTATATACATACACATATATGCATATATATACAAACAAAGAGTATATTTTAATTTATATCTGAAGTTAAACGTAATGTTATCATGTGACAGAAAATCCTTCCTGACTTGTGCATTTACTTTCGTGTTTGCATAGCGTGTGCTTCAACGGAGTGGACTTGGGTGATGGAACTTGCATACCCCTAGAAGGCCGTTGTAACGGGCGTTATGAGTGCCGAGACTATAGTGATGAAGACCGGTGTCCAGGTGAGGATGATGCTGCATCAGAATATCCATTGATATCCATCTGAACTTTATGTAGTTTGTTTCTCGAACATAGTGGTCATAAAGGAGTTTGATTTTTACTCAGAATTTTGTTTGTTTGAACTTGATATTCTTCAAACTCGTGCTGCCTGTTAAGTTTTTCTTCACATCAGTGTGCCTTTTTTAAGAGTTGTCTCTTAATGATGGAAGGTTAGGCTCCAGACATGCAAATCTATTCCTGTTATACAGCATGCAGTCCTGGCGAGTGGACTTGCATGAATGGGGACTGCATTCCCACCGCTCAACACTGCGACAGAATCCCGCACTGCCGTGACGGTTCTGACGAAGAGAACTGCCCGCCTCAGCTCGGTTTGTCTCTTTTCGTTCATTTTTCTCCCTCTCTCCGAAATTTTGTCTGTAATTTTCTGGAATACTTTAGTATTTACATTGTTTCTTTTATTATTTGATAATGTATTTTGTTTTCCATGACTAATACCCCTTTGATTGTTAATTCATAACAAAACTTTTTGTGTGGGGTCAGTCAGTGCTTCAAAGGTAACTATTTTTACTATTTCTACACAAATGTATGCACGTGTGCATGAGTATATAAAGAGATACACATACACACGCATGCACACACACTCACACATACACAGTCACATGTACCAAGCATACACAAACAATTTATGTGTAAATCTGTCAAATTTGGTTATATCTCAATAACTTTATACATATATGATATATATACATATATGTATATATAAGTGCTTGTATGTATGTATGTATATATACATACATATATATGCATATATATACAAACTAAGAGTATATTTTAGTGATTTATATGTGAAGTTAAACGTAATGTTATCATGTAACAGAAAATCCTTCCTGACTTGTGCATTTACTTTCGTGTTTGCATAGCGTGCGCTTCAACGGAGTGGACTTGTGGTGATGGAACTTGCATACCCCTAGAAGGCCGTTGTAACGGGCGTTATGAGTGCCGAGACTATAGTGATGAAGACCGGTGTCCAGGTGAGGATGATGCTGCATCAGAATATCCATTGATATCCATCTGAACTTTATGTAGTTTGTTTCTCGAACATAGTGGTCATAAAGGAGTTTGATTTTTACTCAGAATTTTGTTTGTTTGAACTTGATATTCTTCAAACTCGTGCTGCCTGTTAAGTTTTTCTTCACATCAGTGTGCCTTTTTTAAGAGTTGTCTCTTAATGATGGAAGGTTAGGCTCCAGACATGCAAATCTATTCCTGTTATACAGCATGCAGTCCTGGCGAGTGGACTTGCATGAATGGGGACTGCATTCCCACCGCTCAACACTGCGACAGAATCCCGCACTGCCGTGACGGTTCTGACGAAGAGAACTGCCCGCCTCAGCTCGGTTTGTCTCTTTTCGTTCATTTTTCTCCCTCTCTCCGAAATTTTGTCTGTAATTTTCTGGAATACTTTAGTATTTACATTGTTTCTTTTATTAATTGATAATGTATTTTGTTTTCCATGACTAATACCCCTTTGATTGTTAATTCATAACAAAACTTTTTGTGTATTATCACTGAAGTCAGTGCTTCAAAGGTAACTATTTTTACTATTTCTACACAAATGTATGCACGTGTGCATGAGTATATAAAGATACATACACACGCATGCACACACACTCACACAGACACAGTCACATGTACCAAGCATACACAAACAATTTATGTGTAAATCTGTCAAATTTGGTTATATCTCAATAACTTTATACATATATGATATATATACATATATGTATATATAAGTGCTTGTATGTATGTATGTATATATACATACATATATATGCATATATATACAAACTAAGAGTATATTTTAGTGATTTATATGTGAAGTTAAACGTAATGTTATCATGTAACAGTGAT